AGCGCGATGTTGTCCTCTTGTCCTCTCCTCGTTTCTCCTTCAAAATCTCTTAAAAACTTGTAAAAATGGTTTCCCCTCATTTTTGGTCGAGTTTTTGTTTATATAGGACCCTAAAAAATATTGTTTTCATAAGAGTTTCGGCAAAAAAAGGAAACAACGTTCTTGCCCTAGAACAACTCTATGTGGTCACATAGAGTAAAAGTTTTTTGGCATTTTAAGTTCGGTTTGCCTCTATGCAACCGATAGAGGGCAGCACTATGCGGTCGCATAGTGCTACCAACTATGGAAGATGTGCATTTTGGTCCCTCTACTTAAATCCTTCACTTCTTGGCCTCTTTTCTTCATTCCTTTCATTCCATCATCCCAAGATATCATCCATTAGCAATTGGCTCAATCTATTTCTCGATTTGTTCATTGGGTCAACTTTTGGATAATTGCACCTTGGTCCCTGAACTTTCACTTTGCGTTATTTTAGTCCTTTTTCGCGTCTTTTTCTTGAATTTCACCGTGTTCATCGTTGTTCCCTACAATTCACAAATGTAATGAGATTAAGTCATAATTCAATCATTTTGCTTGTTATTAAGTCATGTTTGTGACCTAAATAAGTGTACAAAAACACACTTATCAAACCCCCCAAACTTGAACTATTGTTTGTCCTCAAACAAGATAGTGACATAATTATGAACAAACATGGCTTAATACCTTGTTGTGGCTCAGGATTGGACTTAAGTATTTGACTTTATGAAAGTTTATCTATGCAAACATGACATCAACCTTCACTTGTTAAATGCAAACTAACATGTGTGTGTGAATTCATGCCAACATATCAGGTTCATGATGAATTTGAGTCCCGACCCCAAGTGGTCAAATATATCCTTGCTCGCTCGAGAGATACACAATCCCTTAAACTTATTCTTCTCACTTAATTATCCTAGGGTTATGTTTTAAGATTAGGAATTTATATAGTTGTAGTCCTCATCCTCTCGTAGTTTGAATTTAGCTTTACTATCCCAAGTTTACATTTCAAAAAGTGAAGGCTCTCCTAAGTTTGATTGCTTCGACACTCAAGATTAAACTAGGTTACTTACCTCGCCTCAGAGGTATAGTCTCTTCAACCAAATGTCTAAGGGCTTTTCGTCATGTTATTGTCTCTCTTATTTTTTCTCACCTTTCTTTAATTTCTGATTGATTGTCATCTTCTCATTTGCTTTCTATATAACCCATGTAACGAGTTTTAGGCCTGTGATTCCCAAACTAGTTGGTTTTAGGGCACCAGGTTTTAAACCCTTGCAGGCTTATTCACTCGAATTATAAAGGCTTGATAAGATGACTTTTATTAACTTATTTCCCTCTTGCTTTCTATATGATCCATGTATCGAGCTTTGGGCTAGTGACTCCCAAACCAGTTGACTTTAGGGCACTAGATTTTGAAATATCCTTAAAGGCTTACTTGCTCGAGTCGTAAAGGCATGAAAAGAAGTGTTTTATTCCCACATATTAATTTTGTGCCCTTTGTTATTTTTCTAGACATTTAGTTTCCAAAACCAACCTCCAATTTAAGATTTTCACCTACTCTTAATCCCACTGGTCTAGGCAATCCACACAATAAAGTTCATGCACGGAGCCCCCATTCATCTCAATACTTTCCTATAATAGCTCAACTATCACCAAACTGTCTTAAGGTAGTTCATGGGTTGATTCAATAGAGGGTTATCATTCTTTTTCTACTTTATGCTCAAAATCCAGTCATTCTCCTAATATGTCGAGCATGAATAGCGTACATAGATAATATCAAGAGTTGCATCAACAAGTATCAGTTAGTCTAATTAACACCAGATCCAAAGTTTTTGCAGTTTAAACTAGTCCAATAATATCATCATAGCTAACAAGGTTATCAAGCCCACACAAGCATGCATGAAGAGAATTTAAAACAACTGAATAAAATGCAAAAATATTTTTTTTGGGCACTCATCATGCATACATTATGCCGTAATGGAAAATAGTGGAAAATAGATAATGATGAACACAGATAGAGATTTAAAATTATGTTACCCTCCTCAAACTTAGTTAATACATTGTCCTCAATGTAAGATTAACAAAAGATTAAAGACATAATTTTAAGACCAAAATGAAGACAAAAAATCGAAATGGGGAAAACAATACTCCCCTGATCAAAATAGTGGCGGCGATGGAAAGCTCGGTCCGATAGCATCATCTCCTGGAGAGGACGGCAGGTGGGTTAAAATCTCTCACAATATGGTACACTACTGGGTCTGCTCCACCTGCATGGCCTGAACCCTGGTATCCAAACTCCCTAGACGGTCCCAAGTCTCGTTTACCCGCCACTGTATACCATCCATCCGACCAATGTACATGCCCAAGCGCCCATCAAAGGTACTCATCTATTGGCATGCCACGAGGGATTCATTGTTGGCAGTGGAAGCGAAGTTTCGTGCAGATGCTATATCCATCTACACCTGCTGGATGGTGATACTCAGTGCTCCAAAGGAGTGCTGAAGCTACTGCATGTCTCGACTGTGTCCAGTCATAGCGGCAAACATCTACCTCAATAACTGGGTGTCCATGTCAACCGGTGGTGGTGGAACTTGTGGCATTTCAAAGTCCTCAGCTGCTTGCCCTTCTTCAACCTGTTGCTATCGCCAACGCTTATTTTCCAACTTCTATTGATGTTTAATTCTGGCTCGATCTTGGGTCTCGAGTGTGAGGCGCTTGATAAATGGACTTGGTTTCTCTGGTGCCTCCCTTGGTTGAACTTGTATGCCTGCAGCTCTACAAACCCCACTTATCAAGCTCGGAAAAATCAGTGAGGTGTGCATGTCACCCCATGTGCATATAATGTGTATCTGATTGTAAATGTAAGTGGCCAAGTCAATCTTGTTGCCCCGAACTAAGTGATAGATGAACCCCACCTTCTGATTCGTGAATGTCGTCCTATGGGAGATGGGCTCGATGTTGTGGCAGATGAACAACCATAGGATGGTTATAGAAGGAGTGAGGTCAATCTAATACCAATCAGCAGTAGGGAGAGACCAAGTATTTTCACGTCCTAATAACACTTCTGCAACCTCAACCCAGTTGAAATCATGCGGGACTGGGACTACATTAGTCCAGGTGAGCTAATAGTAGTCATGAATTATGTCAGGTGAAAACATGATCCATTTGCCCCGAACCCAAGTTGGATACAAATGATCGGATCCAGGTGTGTCTATTTCAACATTGAAGTTGGCATAGAATTTCCACACCAAATTTTCATAGACGGGGTGTCGTCTTTCGATCACTTTCTCCCAACCACAGTTGTGGATTAAATAAACCAATTCAAAACCCGGGAAATCATCTAACTTAACTGGTCTCTCGGGGATGAGTGCCCATTCAAAGATAACATTGGCATAGTGGGCTACTTGGTCTGAAGATAGAAAACGTTGGACACCTCCCTCGGGTTCTCTAGTCGGGGCTGTGCTAGATGTGGGACCAACCTTCTCCTTTCCTTTTGATGTTCGCTTGGAAGGCATCCTACAAAGGTATATAAATAACAGTCATTAAACTGCATTTTGAAAAACGATAGGGGGAATGAGATTAGCAAGACAAGTATTTCACAAACCCCCCAAACTTGCTTCAACATGTATATAGAACTCCTTGGTGTGCACTTATCAAAATATGACATTCAAGGTAGTGTAGATAGAATGACAAGATGAAAAACTGGAAATTTAGGCCGAAATAAGCACATTTGAAAAATTGGACCTATAATCAAGTGCGCATGTTCAGCCTCGAACACCATCGAAAAATATCGGGATTTCCCCGGGCAATCTCCAGGCATATGAAACCATCAAATGAGATCTATCATATATTCAAATTTCAAAGCAAATTGACTTTGTTTGGTATGCCAAATAATGGTGAAAAGTAGGAGACGGAGGGTGCTGTGAAGTGACGTGAGCCTAACACGTGTGCCTACATGTGTGTGGTTCGTACGTGAGTGTTTCGAGCCCATTGTCGATGGTATGTGATCACCACGTATATGGGAATACATATAGACAGATTATCCATTGCGAGATTGCTCAAAATGCACAACAAACTTCACTTAGGCAATGCATCGAACACGTTGTGTGCAATATAGATTCAACTTCATTCTAAAAATACTTGGCAAATGGTAATCATCCAAAAAGCAAAAACACATATTAAAGACCTAAAACAAGCATAATTACACCCTTTCAACTTAATTCCCAATTGTAAGAGGTGAGCAACTACAAGTCAGATTCGAAATAAAAGGAGGAAAAAAAAATTCATACCATTTACGCCTTGAAGATGAGTGATGAATACGGGAGTGATAGGAATTGAATGAGGGATTAGGAATGTTAGTGGGTGCGTGTGTGTTAGATGGTGTATTGGGAATTTTTGGGACCTAAGAGGTGAGAGAGATATGTGCGAGGGAAAGGGGGAAATGAGGGGGAGAGGGCTCGGTCATGGTTTAAAACCATGACCGAGGCTCTACTATGCGGCCGCATAGTACTAAACTATGCGGTCGCATAGTGTTAAAAGTACCCCCGATTTTTTCTTCAGGTAGTGTCTATGCGGTCGCATAGACATTATGTCTATGCGGTCGCATAGACATTATGTCTATGCGATCGCATAGAACACGTTTTTTTTTAACATATTGAAGAGTAAAAGGATATTTCACTCATAAATTTTTTTTAATAAAATAAAATAAAAAAACTTTCTTTTATCTAAAAATGCGTGAATCATACCCCCAAACACCCAAAATCATTTCAAACTCACCGATCATGTGTGTAATGCCTAGGAAATTATGGGGACGATAATTTGATCCTATTAATATGCATGTATGAACAATGACCTAGAAAAGTGCAAATGCGAAAATTAAATAACTCTGAAAATAACGTAAAAAATAAGATAAATAGAAGGATACAGTGGGTTGCCTCCCACCCAGTGCTAAGTTATAGTCGATAGCTCGACTTTACTAGATTGCGTCATTCTGGTGGTCTAAAATGAGCGGTAGAGTTTTCCTTTGAAAAATCGCCGCCCCAATAATGCTTCAAATGTTGTCCATTGACCTTGAATGTTCTCTTGCTGTCGTGAGTGATCTCAACTGCCCCATGTGGAAATTCCTGTGTAATAGTGTACGGGCCAGACCATCTCGATCGCAACTTTCCTAGAAACAGCTTAAGCCTAGAGTTGTAAAATAGCACTTTTTGCCCTACCATAAATTCACGCCTCTGAATATGCATATCATGCCACTTTTTGGTGCGTTCTTTGTAGAGTCTTGAATTCTCATAGGCTTCCATTCTAAGCTCATCCAGCTCATTAAGTTGTAATAGACGTTTTTCACCCGCAACCTTGAAATCCAAATTCAATTTCTTCATTGCCCAATAAGCATGGTGTTCTATCTCAAGAGGTAAGTGGCATGCCTTCCCGAAAACCAATTGATATGGTGACATTTCTATAGGGGTCTTGAATGCAGTCCTATAGGCCCACAAGGCGTCGTCCAGTTTCTTAGACCAATCTTTTCATGATGAGCTTACTGTGACTTCGAGTATTCGCTTCAATTGCCTATTGGACACTTGGACATGTCCGCTGGTTTGGGGATGATATGTAGTGGCTACACGATGTTTAACGCCATATTTAGTCAACAATTGTTCAAACTGACGATTGCAGAACTGTTTGCCCCCGACACTGATTATAGCCCTCGGTGTGCCAAAGCGGGTAAAAATATGTTTCTTTAAAAACTCAATCACCACCTTCCCATTGTTGGTAGGCAATGCAATGACCTCTACCCACTTCGATACGTAATCCACAGCCACTAATATATACTGATTAGAGAAGGATGGGGAGAATGGTCCCATGAAGTCGATCCCCAGGACGTCAAATAGTTCCACCTCCAGGATACTGTTCAGAGGCATTTCATTTCTCCTAGATATATTACCGGTGCATTGACATCGGTCACACTTTTTCACGAATTCAAAAGCATCCTTAAACAGAGTGATGATCTTCGCCGCTGTTTTTGAAGAACTAAAATGCCTTGCATATGTAGATGAATGACAATGTTCTAATATCAAAGGCACTTCTTCCTCAAGTACGCAGCGACAAACAATTTGATCAGCCCCCTGCCTGTATAGAATGGGATCCTCCCAAAAATAATATTTCAATTCAACGAAAAATTTCTTCTTCTGGTGACTTGAGTAATCTGGCGGCATAATAGACCTGGCTAAGTAGTTAACTATGTCCGCATACTAGGGTGCTTCCCCCACACTAAAAATCTATTCATCTAGGAAGACTTCGTTGATTTCCACTGTCTCTGTCTGTTCTGTGGCCTCAAGACGAGTCGAGACAAATGGTCTGCCACCACGTTTTCATTGCCCTTCTTATCCCTAATTTCCAAGTCAAACTCTTGAAGCAACAATATCCAGCGAATGAGACGTGGCTTTGCATCCTTCTTTTCCATTAAGTACTTGATAGCAGCGTGATCTATGCAAACGATGACCTTTGACCCCACAAGGTATGATCGAAATTTATCAAAGGCGTAGACTATGGCAAGGAGCTCTTTTTCTATAGTGGCATAATTTAGTTTAGCGTCGTTTAATGTCTTACTTGCATAGTAGATCATGTAAAATATCTTATTTCTTCGTTGTCCCAATACGGCCCCAACAGTAAAATCACTGGCGTCGCACATTAATTCAAATGGTAAGTTCCAATCCAGTGTGATGATCACGGATGCTGAAATCAACTTCTCTTTCAGGGTTTTAAAAGCCAGGAAACACTCATCCGCGAACTCAAATGTGGATTCCTTCATCAACAAATAGCACAGCGGTTTAGTAATCTTTGAGAAATCCTTGATGAACCTTCTGTAGATCCCAGCATGCCCAAGGAAACTACAAACACCTTTCACTGATGTAGGTGGTGGTAATTTCTCGATCACCTGAATCTTTGCTCTGTCCACTTCAATACCCTTTGCTGAGATTCTGTGTCCTAGCACAATGCCTTCCTGTACCATAAAGTGACATTTCTCCCAATTCAATACCAAGTTAGTCTTTGTACACCGCTATAACACAAGACTCAGATGCTCCAAACACTCATCAAATGAAGACCCAAATACTGAGAAGTCGTCCATGAATACCTCGATGAATTTCTCAATCATATCTGAGAAGATAGCCATCATGCAATGCTAAAAAGTGGCAGGGGCGTTGCATAAACCAAACGGCATCCTACGGTATGCAAAGGTACCATAGGGACAGGTAAAAGTTGTCTTCTCCTGATCGTCAGGTGCTACTAGAATCTGATTATACTCGGAGTACCCATCCAGAAAATAGTAATGCGAGTGCCCTGCTAGTCTCTCCAACATCTGATCAATGAACGATAGTGGAAAGTGATCCTTTCGAGTAGCGACATTTAGTTTGCGGTAATCGATGCAAACTCTCCATTCAGTCACTGTTCGTGTAGGAATCAACTCATTTTTCTCGTTTTCTATCACTGTGATACCCCTTTCTTGGGAACAACCTGTACTGCACTGATCCGTGCACTATCTGATATTGGGTAGATGATGCATGTTTCGAGCAACTTCAATACCTCAGCCCTAACCACTTTCTTCATGTGTGGATTCAATTTCCGTTGACCATCAATGCTTGGCTTGGATTTTTCCTCCATGAGTATTTTGTGCATGCATAGTGACGGGCTGATCCCCTTGATATCTGCAATTGACCATCCAATGGCTATTTTATTCTCCCTTAGCACCCAAAGTAGCTTCTCTTCCTCCACTTTACTAACAGTATTTGAAATAATAACCGAAAGTGTAGAAGATTCTCCCAGGTAAGCATATCGAAGGTGTGGTGGCAATTGCTTAAGTTCCAACTTGGGAGGTTGTTGAATAGATGGCACTGACTTTGTAGTCCTAATTCCCAGCTCTTCAAAGTGGTGTTTGCACATGTATGGTGGATTAGTTTCCAAAAATCGTGCACATGTTTCAATCTCAATTGAATCAGTGTGAGTGGATTGAGAATGTGCAATGCATGCCTCGTATGCATCGGAAGGATGATGTAGCCGAAATGTATCTTGAATTATTCTGTCAATTACATTGATTTGGAAACAATTGCCTGACTCAGTAGAGAATTTCATTGCCTTGAACACGTTGAAAGAGATTTGCTCTTCGCCAAGTCTCAATATAAGCTGCCCCTTTTGAACATCGACAATCGCTCTTCCAGTAGCTAAGAAAGGTCGCCCCAATATGAGTGAAATATCCTTATCCTCCTCCATGTCTAAGATGAGAAAATCGGCTGGAAATATGAACTTCTCCACTTTTACCAACAAGTTTTCAATGATCCCTCTTGGATGTGTAAGGGATCGATCTGCTAACTACAAGGTGACTGTTGTGGCTTTAGCTTCTCCCAAGTCGAGTTTCCTAAAAACAGAGAGAGGCATTAAATTAATACTTGCACCTAAATCACACAACGTTTTATCAAAATGACAATTCCCAATAGTGCAAGGTACAGTAAAACTCTCTGGATCCTTTAGTTTTGGAGGCAACTTTTTCTGGATTCTGGCACTGCATTCCTTAGTTAGCATCACTGTTTCATTTTCTTCTATCTTTCGCTTGTTGGAGAGGATATCCTTTAGGAATTTTGCATAACTCGGCATCTTAGCAAATGGGATGTTGATGTGTAATTTCTTGAAAACTTCAAGAAACTTACTAAATTGTTGGTCCAATTTGTGCTTTTTCAACCTTTGGGGGAATGGAATAGGAGGCTCATGAGAGTTGATAGGATTGGTAGCTGTACTCCGTGATGTATTGGAATTCTTCTTGACCACATCCCCTATTGTTTGTTCAGTCTGTTCCACAATCTCGTTATCTGAGGTTGGTGCTGATTCCTTGCTAGCTCTGGTCTTTTTACATGTATCTCCGGTAGTTGTACTCAACTTCTAGTTGTATTAGCCTTTGCGTGCTCCTTAGGGTTGACTTCAGTGTTGCTGGGTAAGTTTCTAGGTGCTCTACCCGTCATGGAGATTGCTAGCTATCCCATTTGTGTCTCCAAATTTTTTATTGCCGTACTTTGGTCTTGAAAAGTTGCATCTGTCTTCGCATAAACTAGTTGTTAGCTTCCATATACTTATTGGTTGTTGCCATGAACTTCTCGAACATCTCATCCAATGGTGGCTTTTTATCCTGATGCTGATATTGATCTTGTGGTCTGTTTTGATTCTGATTACTCCACGAGAAGTTTGGGTGTTTTCTCCAACCCTGATTGAAGGTTTTCGAATGTGGGTTGTTCTGTTGGCGTTGACCCCATTGCACAAAATCTGCATGTTCGATCCCCTGTGCGAGAATTGAACAATTAACAGTGTTGTGATCTGCTCCACATTCTTCACAGCTTGGCTTCTTGACTTGTTTAGCAATGGCGGTCTGTGAAATGCTCTCAACCTTATGGAACAAAGAGTATATCTTTACAGACAATGCTGAGTAACTATCTACTTCATAAACCCCCGGCGTTCTCTTCTGAACCACTCGATCTGTAGACCACATGGGTGAAGTTGTAGCTATTCTCTCAAATAGCTTCCATGCTCCGTCAATTGTTCTTGTGGAGATAGACTCGCCAGATGATGAATCCAACATACTCTTGAACGATGGAAGTAGTCCAGTGTAGAAAAATTGGATCTGTGTCTTCTTGTCAAAGCCATGTTGAGGACACTTCATTAACATATTTTTGAAACGATTCCATGCCTCTTCAAATGATTCAGACTCACATTAGTTGAATACAGAGATATCATGCAGCATTTTGGCTACCTTAGCTGGTGAGAATAACTTGGTACAGAATTTGTGGGTTAGCTCGTTCCAAGTGATGATACTTGCGACGGGAGGCGAATCTAGCCATTCAAGTGCTTTATCCCACAAGGTGTGTGGAAACAACCGCAGTCTTATAGCATCGTCCGAGATACCCTGGTACCTAAAGTATTGGGACATATCCAAAAAATTGGGATATGTGTGTATACGGATTTTCACTAGCCATCCCGTGGTATTGATGCCCATTCTGAAATAGTTGAATCACATTTGTTTTCAGCTAGAAGTTCGGTTGCCCAAATGGAGGAAACACAATGCTAAATTGACTTTGGACCACCAACGGTGCCATGAAGTCCCCAAGTACTATATTCCCGTCATCTTCAACTATCATGCCTTCATTGAGTGGAATTACTGGTCGATTTTGCTCATTAGCCATTTGTTGTGCAGCTTTTGCTTCTCTTTGCCTGTGATGAAATGTGAGTTCGATCTCTGGATCTATGGGAACCAAGTCTTGATCAAATGCTCCTTGTATACAAGCCCTGAAATAGCAAAATTAACACAAAATTAAATTGAAGTAAATAATAAACTAAACCTAGTAAGCTAACTACTACTAATCTAGATAAGTTCGAATTAGTATCACAAAAGATAAAATTAAAACTAAATTTCAATCCTCGGCAACAGCGCCAAAAACTTGTTTACGAAATTATTTGTTCCGATTTAAAATCCACCGCAAGTTTTCGCTTCGTTAACAAGTAGTAAAATGGACTATGAGTCCAAGTGTCGATCTCACAAGGATTGAATTAGTTCAAATTAACCTATTATGACCTTAACTGAAATACGAAAATCAAATTGATGTTTTGTAGTTTAACTAAAAAGATGTAAACTTTGATACAAGTATGAATGAAAAATTATACTAAATGTAAAATAACTTGGATGCAATTTAACTCGAATTTATGGGATTAATGAATATACTAACGCACTAGGATCACGAATCCCCAAGCAATACCCATTCAATTTTCAATTATGCAAATTTGACACACAGTCCCACAAAAGATGAATCAATATTCCTATTTTAATTTAGCAATCTTTCTCGAGCAATGCCAAACCTATCCCAATATATGATTCGAACTATGACGAATACTAACATACCGAAATGCATTATAAATTCATGAATATCCAATGATTCACACAAGGCATAGAGGTATATTTCTATCCCCTATTGGACCCTATGATGATTTATACAATGTCAAACCTATTTTTCTTCTTTCGAATGTATAAAATAGGCCACCACAATCATATAATTACGTGCACAATAATCATATGAAAATAAAAATGTAATAAATCAATCAAATTCGGAAATTGCGTTTAAATACGTCAAAAATCCAAATCAACTATCAAACGTAGTATTACAAGGTTCATCGATCTCCTAGCAATGATAAATTTAGCCTAACATGCTAAAAAGAAGAAAACATAAAAATATTCGAAGAAACGTCATCACCCGAATCAATCTTCAATCGAATCTTCACTTGGCGCGATGTTGTCCTCTTGTTCTCTCCTCGTTTCTCCTTCAAAATCTCTCAAAAACTTGTAAAAATGGTGTCCCCTTGTTTCTGGTCGAGTTTTTGTTTACATAGGACCCTAAAAAAATATTGTTTCCATAAGAGTTTCGACGGAAAAAGGAAACAGCGTTCTTGCCCTAGAATTGCTTTATGCGACCGCATAGAGTAAAAGTTTTTTGGCATTTTAAGTTCGGTTTGCCTCTATGCGACCGCATAGAGGGTAGCACTACCAACTATGGAAGATGTGTATTTTGGTCCCTCTACTTAAATCCTTCACTTCTTGGCCTCTTTTCTTCATTCCTTTCATTCCATCATCCCAAGACATCATCAATTGACAATTGGCTCAATCGATTTCTCGATTTGTTCATCGAGTCAACTTTTGGATAACTGCACCTTGGTCCATGAACTTTCACTTTGCGTAATTTTAGTCATTTTTCGCGTCTTTTTCCTGAATTTCACCGTGTTCATCGTTGTTCCCTACAAGTCACAAATGTAATGAGGTTAAGTCATAATTCAATCATTTTGCTCGTTATTAAGTCATGTTTGTGACCTAATTAAGTGTGCAAAAACACACTTATCGTATACAAACTTTATATATTAACTTTCTTAATACACTAGTGATATTTAATTGTTAATTCAACAGAAAAGAATGAAAGTTTAGAGAGAAACATAATAAAGATGTCGTGTAACACCCCGAACTTTTTGACTATTTTTCATATAGGCCTAAATTTAATATTGATCACTTAGCAAATAAAATAGTCAATGTCTAGATTTATCGTTACACTAAAAGTCCGAAGGTTGAAGTGATAAGCTCAACCCACTTATTCACATAAAAGATTTATCTTGCTTATGATTTTTTAGAATTTATCGTAAGTTATTTGAGTTGAATATTTAAATACTTCAGAAGTTGATAAAAATATATTGATATTATACTCATTTTGTAGCTTGTGTTAAATAATATAATTTGTGCTCAAGAAAAAGAAATTTTGAGTTAGTCCTGTCCGAGTTATTCTAATAAAAAAAATGTGTTAACTTTTAAAATTTTATTAATATAAATAATAATAAAATAATAATAAAAAAACAAAGAAATAAGAGATGAACTTTTACATAGGAATTTGAAAAGATATTTAACACAATTACCAAAATAATTAACCTAATTAAGTCATAAGTAACCTTATTGATTTTGAATTATGTCACCAACCTTTTGAATTCCTTGAAGGTTACGTGCGAGTGATTATATATAAGGCGTGAGGTGAGAGTATTTTGTGTTACATTATCATTTCTAACCACCTTTTTTGGCTATCAATTGAGGTAAGAATATATCGTACAAAGTGGTAAATTATTCATTAATGTTTGTATAATTTTTTGCATAAAATGCTATGAGGCCTTCAGGTCGAACTTTATGTTAAATCTTTCGGGATGGACCCGTTAGGTCAAAGATGTTAAATTCGAAGAGATGGACCGTTTGGTCAAGTATGTTAAATCCTACGAGATATAGAGATTCTTAAGATGTTCATTGAGCTCTAAATCTAAAAAATGTTGTTATATTATGTCAGTTTTATATTTATGTCATGTGCATAAGAATGTGTACGTATATACTCTTACTGAGTGTTTTCAAAATACTTACCCTTACAATAACATTTCAGATTAGAATGGGTTGTGTGGACGCGTGATAGATTGCCCGAGTTTTACTTATGGGGTCACCGAGTAAAAGTTTTAGAAAGGATTATTGCCAATTTTTATTTTAAGAATAATCTTATGTTTAATTTTGTGCTTGTTATTTTAGTAATTTCGATATTTAAGTTATTTAACATGTTAACACCTCCAATTATTTTTATTTAAAAATAATAATAATAATGAAAAAGATCTTGGGGCGTTACATGTCGAGCCAATAGCACCTTCATTCCTATATAAATATAAAG